GAATACGGTTCTGATCTGGAAGAAGACATAAAATCGGAAACAAGTGGTTACCTTGAACAGATGCTGGTTTGCCTTCTTCAGGTAATGCTAGAGAAGAGAAATGAGGGTATAAAGATCTTCATGTTTTTTTCTTCCTTTTTGGAGAAGACATGCAATAGAAGATGCAATACAGTCATGATCACTAGATAAACTGCAGAGATAAACATGTCACTTGGACTGGATCTCTGTGTTTCAGCTTCAGTGTGACTGAAGCAGGGAACTCTCCCTCGCTCAGCAGCAGTAAGAGAGCTGGTAACTTTGTCAGCTCTGCGGCAGGGAGACACCTCACTTTTACGTATGTGTAAACCATTGTACTCTACAAGAGTCTTAGAAAACAATGCCTCTAAATGATGATTCACCACTCTTCTAGGGTCCCCCCCCTCAATGCTGAGTGCACTTGGAGGCATTTATCCTATTGCATTTTCTGATTTTTCCTGCCAAGCAGCAGAATAGCCTAGCAATTTTTTGGCTTCACTTCAAATGACTGATTTTGGTGCATTTCAGTGAAGGAGTTAACACTTGTGCTGTCTGAAACATTACTGCTGAGTGCTCTGCAGAAATAGGTATCTGAGAAGAATTGATCTTGACTGTACGCTGTGATCCTTACATGTGGAAGATACTTCATGAGACAAAACTGTTACCTTTCTTTTTCTTCTCATAGGGTGAGAGGGACAATGCCACTCTCTACGTGGACACAGCACTGGCTCTCCAGGATGCAGAGGTACTCTCAAATGCCTATGGTATGCCTGCATCCCACCTGTCTTGAACTTCAGACTGCTTCAGTGGGCAGCAGAATCTGGGTCAGCAGAGGGTTGGAACTACAAGAGTTTGGGGAGGGGTCTTCTCCAAGCAGAAGCAGCATGAGGTTCTTCAATTTTGCCTGCACTACTGAGCCTTGCTGTTCCAAGAAAGAGCAATGAGAGCTGGGCTTGGGGTCAGGCTCAGCTGCTTTTGATACATGAAAGTATGAGTGTGGTGGAGTGGGACAGCAAAGAATAGGAAAGAAAATTCAAAAGCATTGTTGTCTGCTCCAGCTGTTGCAGGAGGGATGGAAAGGGTGGGCATAGTGGCCGTCCTAATTTGACTAGAAAACACAGTTAAGGATTTTCATAATCTACCATTCTAGGAGAGTCTAGTTGACACAGTGTTTTAGATTAATTCAAACCCCTTTGCCCTAGCAGTGCCTTAAGCCAAACTATGTCCCTTTACCAGCTACATGCACAGAACCTCTAACAATTATGCATTAAATTACAGACTCTCTATGCTGCTGGGGAGAAGATACGGGGCACTGATGAGATACAGTTCATCACCATCCTCTGCACAAGGAGCGCCACACACTTGCTGAAAGGTATGGAGCAGAGCCCACACTCCTAAGCCTCTGAAGTGAGAAACCACTCTGGCCAAAAATAAGAGGCAGAACTACAGGTGGCAGAGATGGGTGGTCAGAAATAAGTACCTGAATCTGTTTCCTAATCCTTGGTCACTCAGTGACCAAAACCTATCAGCAGTTTTTGTGAAAATTTATGAAAACTTAGTGCTGCTGAAAATCAAGTGCCTTATGTAGGAGTCCTTATACAGTGGTGATGGCTGTATAGTATAGCTGGGTTTATAAACCCAAGGAGAGAGAGAGAGAGTCCCTTCCAAAGTGGGTAGGAGAATACAGTGGACAGATCCATGACTCCTTGGGTGCAACTTCCTCTGGAAAAAAAATCACTGACAAAATAGCTGGTTATTTTTCAGTGCTGTAGAATCATGGGGTGCACCCTGCAGTTCTGCCCCAGGTCCTTCTGTGGGCATGAGAGGCTGCTGGGAGGGAAGGTGCTTAACCCAGGTCCAGCTAAGGGAGCCCTCAGCTCCCCACTGCTCTGCGAAGCAGAGACCTGGCCTTGTCATCTCAAGACTTTTGTGGCAGTCCAAGGCTATGACTAACAGATTTTGTTATGTAGGCTGAATCTAAGCATATCAAACACTGTGTAAATCAGCTGGACCTAAATTGATAAATTACCTGGTGATATATTAGGTATGCCTAAGGTCTTCTGAGGCTGTTGTCCAGGCCCTGGAGGCCAGCTCCCCCTTGTGTTTTCAAACGTAATCTCCCAGCATCACTTAGTAAGCAAACAAACAAACAAAAAAGTGATCTCTAGTCTTTGGCTGTGTCTGCCTTTAAAAATTGAACTTCCAGTAGTCATTGTCAGGATGCAGCCAGTCTCTGGGACCTACTCTATCACCAAGCAAGTAAATCTATGATTTTCTCTGTACTAAGGCAGCCTGTAGCTATTCATCTTTAAAGCTTGAGTGTAATTGTTGCAACTAATTTGATGGTTTTGATATGGAGCATAGGCCTGAGTTGAGAAGGTTGTATCCATCTGTCTATTCTGTGGTACTGCCTTTCTCCAAAGTATCTGAGTATTAATGTTTAGGGATCTGATCTTCAACGTTGATGAAAACTTCAGTAAGATGTTCATTGCTGTACATAGCAGTTTTCTTCTTTTGTTAGTTTAAAAGCTAGGAATCAGAACTGAGGTCTGTAATTCTGAACCCCAGAGTATCCAGAGCATATAAGGGGAACAACAACTCTGTTCCTCAGCTTTTGGTAATTTTGGAGTTTAAATATCTTGGAATCTGCACCTGTGCCTTCCTGATCTTTTCTGAGTTGTTTTTTAAATTGTGATTGAAATAAGTTTTCCCAAGCTGTTGGCATCATTTAAAAGTCCAAGGACCATGAGCAGCATGGTCCTAGATTTAATTTGATTTTATTTTGGCTCCTGAGGCTAGTGACATCAGCAAACACAGACCAAATGATAAAGTTGTGCCTATCCTTCTGTCGCCTGCTTTATTTCTGTGGTTAAAGACTGTGATGAAGGGTCAGATTTCCAAATGAATATGAGGTGACTGAATTTGTATTTTCAAATGAAGGCAGAATATTAAGACCTGTGGATGGGTTAGGTTTTTGTGAATGCTCCCATCCATTCTTGTAACTGATTTCTGGACTTGACTAAAGCTTACTGAAGGCGGTGCAAATGTGGCCGTTGCTTTAGCAGAATCTGTGTTTTCATGTTGCCACAGAAGTAATACACGTAAATATTGGGCACAAAATGCCTGAGCAGTTGCTTGGTAAAAAATTGAAGTGCTTTCTGTTTCAAACAGTGTTTGAAGAATACCAGAAACTTGCTGGTAAGAGCATAGAAGATTCTATCAAGAGTGAAACTCATGGTTCACTAGAAGATGCCATGCTGGCTATTGGTAAGAGTGGCTACGTTTCCCTCTTTTTTGTGCGAGTCTGCTGCCTTTTCTCCTGCAGTAGTTGACTCTTATGGGATGGATCTACTTTATAAAGGTATCGGGTAGGAAGAAAAGGGTATTTAAGTAAGATAAACTCAGATCCCAGGAGCACACTGAATTAATGGAAACCGTGTTGAATCTTTGTTACCTGCTGCTCTGGACTGGAATTACCTTTGAATCTTAATAAGCCTTTTTGTATACCTAGTGAAATGTACAAGGAATGTCCATTGCTACTTTGCAGAGAGGCTGTACCATGCTTTAAAGGTAAGACTCTTTACTGTAACATAGCTGTTTTCATACTGGACTAAACTTGCAACCTGGCTTCCACCAATTCAAATTAGAAGGCACACGGTTTTGGTGAAATCCAGCAAATTTAGAGCTATTGTTGCAAATAATAGCAAAATCCCTTCAAACACGTTGAGTAGAAAAGTACCCTTTAAGCTTGAGATACCAAGGGAGTCTGGCTTTTCTGACTTAGGAGTCTGCAAGGAGCCCAGTCCCACCTTCTGAAACATGGATAAACCTTCTGGAAGATGATTTTCTAGGAGATTGATCATGGAGTTTTGCCCATAATGTTAACTTCATGGACTGAAACACAATATTTTCTTTTCAGGAAGCAATTCTCTCAATGGCAGTATAAAATGAAAGAGTTCCAAATGGGGACACGTAAAGCATCTGCAGATTGTGCCCCTGTAACTCTTGACTGATATGTAAAAGATGTAAGCACTCCCAACTTTGCAGAAAGCTGAGATGACTGATTATTTTTGTTATTGATGTGATCTTAATTTTCCTGTGAGTGATTAAACAATATTGGTTGGAGCCAAGTGTTGGATGGGTGATGCTGCAGAAAGACAGTATGTATTCAGTGCTGACTTCCAACTCTGTAGCATGTTTGCTTTTGCATTGGACATGTGCAAAGACAAGCTCACTTCCATGGTGAGCTTGAGGTATTGACAGTGGCTCCTGGGAGGGGGAGGGGGCGGTTGACCCACCAGAAAAAGAAGCAGGTATGCTGCAGCACATGTGCCAAGTGATGTTTGAAAGCTGACTCCTCCTGTCCTGGACCAGTTTGCAACAGCTTATCGCTTGAACACCCACTAAGATCACAGACTGATGTATCTGTTATTCCAGGGGGCTGGCACCGATGATGGAACTCTTATAAGGGTGATTGTTTCTCGAAGTGAAGTTGACTTAAATCTTATAAAGGTTGAATTCAAGCATATTGCAGGAAAGTCTCTCTCCAGCATGATTCTGGTAAGCAGCATCTTGATACAATGGTTCTTAATCATCACATACATTCCTAACATCTCCAGCACTGTGGAATACTTCCATGGTTATTTTCAGTAAAAAGGTAATTTCTGCTAAGATCGTAGCTCTCCTTCATTAGGCCTATTAGTAGTCATCTCCTTGAGAGACCTATTTGCCTGAAAGATGAGTCAGATTGTATGGTCTGTAGGTGACTCGGGCAAAGCCAAACCTGAGGAGAGATTCCTCCAGGCTTTTTATGGACCAGACTCTGTATCTGTGTACTTCATGATCTTGTAGATAAATCTAGATTCATTTCATCCTCCCTGTTACACCTTTCCCACACTTCTGTGCCAGTTTCTCTTCTGTCTCTGCTGTCCTTAACTACTAACAAGCTAAGTCAAAGCAGTGCTGATACTTTTTTTTTTTTTTACACTGACATTCCAGATGAAGACCTGGTCTATACTGTGGTGAGATAGGTTTAGGAACTGAACCTTGTCAAAGCTTCTTGCAGCTTTTGGGGTTTAAGTCTCAGCTCTGAGTGAATGACCCTGCCCTAGCAAAAAGCCATGCTTTCTATTAGGGCTGAAATAGCGGGCTTCTAAGGACTCTGGGACATTCCTCTTCCCCCAGTGCAAATGGCACAGAAGCCCTATCCTTAGTAGTCCCCATGGGAAGTCTGATTCTGTAATGAAGGCCCTTTCTTCTAATTGACACTGTCAGTGTCTGTCATGTTGATTAATGATCAGTCTTCAAGGGTTTGTACAGAATATTCGGAGAAGTGGAACTGGCTTTACACCTGTCATCACAAAACATTCAGAAGGAGCAAATTTCTTATCTAGTGATATTCTCTGTAGTCTTTCTCTAGATCCAAATGACCATATTTGTGGCTTTTTAAAAAAATGTTACATGTCAGGGCTATCTATACTGCCCTTTCTGTTCCTGTAGGGGGGAGAATGCTACATACATACCCAGGGACATAAAAACTGAACACAGCAGGCTTGGTTGCTCTCATTCATGATGACTTTGTCGCTCTGTGGGATGGAGCCCTGATCAATTAATTGCTCACCTGGATTCCAGAGAAAAGAATTGGACTTGATAAATGTTATTTCAGGTGGCAGCTACAAGCCTCATTTCTCCATTTGCTTTTGATGGTGTGTCGGCTGGCAGTAACTCTGCTGAAGTCTGGCTTGCTCTTCCCAAAGTCCTTTTCCTGTGGGGGAATATTCCACAGACTGACAAAGTCAGCACTCGGAGCATGCAGAGGAACTTCCATGCTCACCTTTTTTTTTTTCTTTTTTTCTTTTTTTTTTTTTTCTTCTCCTGTCAGGATGACACCAGTGGCGATTACAAGACAGCCTTGCTAAGTCTCTGTGGCAGTGACTGAAAAAATCTAGGAAGAAGATGTTGAAATGGATACTGAGGGGAAAATGAACAGTGAACAAGGGTCTGAAAATGTACATGTAGAAAAATCTTTCCATTGATACAAGGGGGGGGGGAAGAGATCAAATTAATGGTTAAGATTTCCAAAGCTCTCTGAAGGATGTGCATGTTCATTACACATTAAAAACTATTCACTTCCTAACAGTTTTTCAAACACAGGTGGGAATATTTTTTGTTTCTATTCTGTTCTATGCAATTTCCTTTCTCTTTTAACACACTGTGAAAGGGTGGCACTTGGATGTGAAATTAAAGACTTTTTTGAACCCTCTGCAGGTGTTTCATAATTCTGAACAACCCTACAAAGCTTGGGCTGTCCTCAAGCCTTCCTAACTTCTAGGACAAGCTGGTACAGTACCAACTGGGTCTGGAAGGAGTCCTAGATATTAATGAGGCTTTAGGGCGTGGGTCAGAATGGAGAATTCAGTTGTGGGGGTGTGAGGGGAGCTGGTTTAGCAGCCTTATCTGCATAACTTCAGTGAGGGCTCCCCAAAGAGCAGGGAATGGCAGAGCCAAACTGGCTGTAAGCATGTGAAAGTTGAAAGCTGTGTGCTTGATTTCATACTTGGTTATGTGTCTACAGGGGTGATGGAGACTAGCAAGTTCATGGTATGACATAAATCAGACTGTGGGGAAATCAAAACTGGCCTGGATGACTTGTTTTTGGTGAATGTAGGATATCCTACTCTTGGGAAGAGACCTGTTTCTGCTCCTAGTTTCACAGTAATTTCACATGGGTCAATAGATTGCCTTGAAAGTTGCCCCCCACCTCCATGACTGCCCCAAATTTGGGCAGTGATACAGAGAGAACAGGACGAAATGCTTTGACAAGCTCAGGTCTGCCTTGATCAATAGTTCTCTCAGGCGAACATGAAGAGGAGGTGGTTTCAATCTCTGATCCTTTAAGTGCTTGTGTTTTCAGTGATAACCCGAGTTCTCACCTGGACTAAAAGTGAGTTGGAGATATGTCTCTAGACAGTGTCAAGGGGGATGTGGACCAGCTCCAGCCATCAAAGAACAGGGAATCACATCTCCATTCTGCTGACCAAAGGACCTACTTGATTTTTCGGACAGTCACTTGTCCTTGCCACTGATGATCAGCCTTCCGCTGGTTTTGCTTAAGAGCAGGTTCAGAGGCTGATTTCTAGCGAGAGGCGTGCCGGGACCGGCATGGGATGCCGGCTGCGGAGAAAACCGTGCTTACACCACCCTCTTGTGGGTGACAGCCTGTGTGCAGCCCGGCCGGCGGGACCACGGCGGGGAGAGCTCACGGACCCACGCGGGACCCCGAGACCTGTCCGTCGGAGAGGGCAGGTAAGCAAACATCCCGGTCACCCCCCGCCTCCCCGAGTAGTGCCCAAATGCCTCGGTCACAGGCAGAGCTCCAGCGGGAGAGATGCAGAACAGGCACGGGGTGGTGAGATTTGCTCCCCTTTAAACAACACAGGCTTTCCCTCCCAGCTGTTTTAAAGTCTATAATGAAGGGGTGTATTTGCTGACAGCTGCCCCCTTCGTGACTCTGGTTTAGGGACTCTCACCCTGCAGCCCCTTAGCTCTGGTATGGCTAAGAGGCTCTGCAGAAATGCTTTCCTCTGACCAGATCTGTGTGATGAGGTTTTAGTGAAAATATAAGCCATTCCTCCCCATGTTTGGTGTATTATTTTGGAAAGGCCAAATGGGAGTTAGTAACTGCCCTAGCAGGGAGCATGAATAACTTATACAGTTGTACCCATGACATTTGCATTTCCTGAGGCTGGACAGGCAGCAAGTGAGAAGTAATCCCAGCTTTGAGAGACTTAACATCTGATAAGAACAGCCTAAAGAAAGTTCAGTTTTTCAAAGATATTTTAGTCCAGAGTTGTCTGATTTTACTGAAACTTTTGTGCTTATATCATCTTGGAGCTCCTGTTTTTGTTACTATCAGGTTATTCAGGTCAGAGGTTGGCTTTTCTTGTTGCCCTGTGCTTAGCACAGTGGGTTAGGATTAGAGCTGTTTCAGTGTGATGGTGGTGCCAATTTATTAATAACAGCTTGGGCGATGTAAAGTGAGTTGCCAGTAGGCTCACAGGAGATCAGTAGTAAAGCTGGGAAGGAGGAACAACTGAGGGAAGCTGATTTTATCACCATAATTGCTGGGAAACAAAACAATTGTAAAACATCAATAAAGATTTAATTACATATTGATTGCTGCTAAAATGTTCCCTGGGTGAAACAGGCTCTTTAATAAAGCGGAATCAATTCCTAAGCTGTTCTAACCAGTCTTTTCCAAATGCAAATATTGATTTAGGGCCTTTCTATTCATTCGCAGCTTAATTAACATGATTTTATTGCATAAAAATCAAGATAAAAGCTCAGTAAGGAAAAGGTAACAGGGGCAATGTAAAAAATGCCCAGGACCGGTGCAGGCCTTCTGCTGCGTATGTGCCAGCCTTTTTCCACCTCCTGTGCTGCAGGAAGACCTGTGTGTAGGGCGTCTCCAGGGACTGCACTAATGCCACCTTGCTTGTCCCTCCCTAGGTGGTTACTCTGTGTCTCCAGATGCAGCGCACAGTGCAGGAGCTGTGCTAACCAGCAGCGTGGTGAGGTGTAGGAACTTTAGCTCTCTGCTCAACTCACACCCAGGTGTACATAGGAATAGTTGACTCCAACTACTAGCTCTGTTCCTGACACCTAGGGAAACTAACAAAAATCTATTCCAGATATGATGCCAGTGCACATAAATCATGTTTAAGCCCTGAAGACTCCTATTCCAGAGAAAGCTGACTTCATATAGTGTTGCTTAATTCTCCCAGCATCCCAGTGCAGATGTGGCCTGAAACCCAGAAGGCTGAACAGAGGATCCCCAGGCAGTAGCCAGGCACAGGCAAGCAAAGGCTCTGCTTAAGAGCTATCTCATCACTGTGACTTCTGGAAAAGAGAAGAAAAGATTGGATGGTCTGGCTTCACTTACATTTCTATTTTGTAACAGTTTGGAGTAATTTTTGGATAAAGTATATTTAAGTGTTCAAAGTGAGGTTAAAAAAAAAAAACATTGTTCCTGTCAGGAAGCGGAAGAAAACAGCAAATATCTTAGTTGGGTGAAGTGGAAGATCTCTTTCCCATCTCCTCATGCTTAGGGATGTTTTTTTAAGGGGGAGGAAATAATCTGAGAAGGATATTCAATCTTCGTGGTTCCCTATGGTTTCCCCAGCAGTGCTCAGAGGCACCCCCGGGGTGGTGCAGGCTGTTGGGCTGGGGTGGGGCAAGGAAAGAGCCTTGCCAGAGGCACCAGAGCTGGCGCTGGGGCTTCTGTGAGGCAGCCCAGACAGCACTTCTCTTCAGAGCAGAGGGTGGGTGTGCTGGTTTTGGCTGGGACAGAGTTAATTTTCTTCATTGTAACCAGTATGGAGCTCTCTTTTGGATTTGGGCTGAAAATAGTGTTGACAATGCAGAGATGTTTTTGTTACTGCTGAGCAGTGCTTACACAGACTCAAGGCCTTTTCTGCAATCCATCGGCAAGTAGCTGGGGGTGCACAAGGAGCTGGGAGGGGACACAGCCGGGACAGCTGACCCCAACTGACCAAAGGGATATTCCATACCATATGCCATCATGCTCAGTATATAGTTGGGGAAGATGGATGGGAGGTGGGATCGCTGCTCAGAAACAGACGGGGCATCAGGCTTGTTTGGGTTTTTTGTTTTTTCTCCGCAGGTAGTGACCAATCGGATTTGTGCATCACTTCTGTTACACATATGTAATTATTATTATTATTCTCTTCCTTTATTATCCTATTAAACTGTCTTTATCTCAACGTGTGAGTTTGAATTTTTTTTTTTTTCCTCCATTCTCCTCCCCATTCCACTGGCAGGGAGGAGTGAGCGAGCAGCTGCATGGTGCTTAGTTACCAGCTGGGGTTAAACCTCAACAGTCCTTTTTGGTGCCCAATGTGGGGCACAAAGGGTTGAGATAACAGATCTGACCAGAGCATGTTAAAACAAATTCATTGTAAGCGTTCATTATATTAGTTTAATAGTTGCTCATCACAATGTTGTATTATTTGTTCGTATGGTTGTGTAAAGTAATTCCTTACTCACATTGTGTATTCCCTATGGTGCTGTTTATCATCTCTGGGAGCTGGATGACTTTTTTCCTTTTGCTGCACTGTGTACTACCCGGTTATGATAAGATAACATTATTGGCCATGAGAATGATTTGGTATGTGTATTCAGCATTGCTGTCATTTCCATACCTCGGGCGCTGTCTCCTGGGAATTATTCATAATAGTGCACTCTACCTTTTTTCCCCAGAGAACCAATCTATGGGGGAGACAGAGAGGAATACTTTCACCTTCACTTTCCCTTTCTCCTTCAGGCTTGCTACCACATCTCTTGAGAATTTTGAATATCCTTGTTCCTATTGCTAGATCTCTTGAATGTGGTTCAGGTCTTGTTTAGGGTTAAACAACTAATTAAGAATACCACTCAGAGATCTGCTCTGAGACTGGATAGTTACGAGTGGGATAGTATGGGTAAGTACCTAGAACAGTGGGCATCTCCAGTGTTTTGGAACTTCACCCCTGAACAAGTGCAGAATCCTGTAAAACTAGTAAAATATTTGGAAAAAGTATGCTGGCAATTCCAGAGAGACATAAATCACTGCAATGTGCTGGGGGGCCTGGCCCCTGCCTATCAAGCCCGGTTCAACACTATTCAGTGAGTACCCTCAAAGGAAAGAGAAGGTCTCTGGATCTGATGACAATTTCTGAATGGACACTGCTGATTATTTTTTATTAAATTGATAAATTAATGGTAAATTAGTGTTGATTTATTAATGTAACGTGCTGCACTGAGGAAATACTGCCTGCCACAGGCATCCAGATGGGATAATGGAGTCTCCTAGTGTTGTGGCTTATTGCCTGGCTTTCTTGAAGGAGCCTGTTTTGCTGGCAAGGTGGCCATCTGATGATG